CGAGGCAACATACTACGACAATATTTTTCCCAAAATAATGGCTAATAGTACCATGTGGTTATCATAGTAATATTTTCTTCTCTATAACCTTTTTATTGTTTCACCCAAATCCCTTTTCATCTTCGAGATGGGACTTGATCCCAAGACCTTCAGCCCAACCTTCTAAACGATTATCATAGTAATGTTTTTCTTCTCTATAACCATTTGCTTATTGAAGAGAACTCCAGCTCTAACTCTATTTATTAAGCAAGTTCTAATATTTTCCCTTACAACTATCAATATCTTTGTCGCAATTTCATCCTCTAGTTAACTTGCAAGGTTGGTTGGGCACATCCTTCTGATCAATCACAATAGATGATTAAGACTTGATGATCAAAAGATTTATTAATTACCATTAAAACCATATTTTTTAATAGCCTAGAAATACATTTCTACATGAAACTTTTTTGAAACTGATCAAACAAATTAGTGCGTTGTGAATGTGACCATCACACATCATACTAAACGTAAAAACTACTCTATGAAAGTGAAGATGTTGGAGGAAGGGTTTGAACCTTCGACCTTGTGCTTTAGAAACCACACGCTCTAACCAGCTGAACTACTCCAATTTATTATACATACTATGTTAAATGTCAAATTTATTCTCAAAGCACATTATTGTAGTCCTAGAAATCAAGTATTCATACTAAAGAACATTTTTTATTCAAGTGTCTCATAATTTTCAAATAAACAAAGAAAATAAAGTTTCAACCACTTAAGTATAGGAGAAAAAAAAGATTTAAGTAAAAAATAAAACCTGAATTTTAGAAGTCATTTTGGCCAAATATGCTAAAATTCGGTCATGCAACTGGCACAGTGCATGTTCTAAATACATTCCTGATCAGCAACACCAAGTATATCAGCTGTTGGCTTTGCTCATATATCTGCATCACAAACCAAAAAACTGTGGTATGTGTGTTCCAAAGTAGAAAAAAAAAAAATCTGAATCCTTAGTTCAAAAGCATCAACATGATGACATTGTATCAAGTTAATAGTACCCAAGCTAAAGCTTAAAAGAAAAGAATTAGGATAGAGAATAGTGATATCTCAAAATCAAGTTATAGTCGCCACAGAACATTAGTTTCGTTTACAACACTTGGTATACCATTCAAGCTACAATATTTGTATAAAACACTTGGTATTCATGAACATAGAAGAAATATGAATATTGTACGTTGCAATCTTTTATTAACAACATAACATGATTAGTTTCGTGTACTGGTTTAAGAATGGAAACGATGGGGTAATTCCATTCAGGTTTTGCTATAGATGCGAGGTTAAAAAGATAATAAGGTTTTAGAAAATAAAAACTCATTAATCGAGGCAACCAAGATATAATCTGAGTCGTTAGATTGTAGTGGGATATCAATTTAAGTTATCAATTTTATCCATAGATCTAATAAAAACTTAATATCAACTCATTAATCGAGAAAATCTTAACCACCACTTATAACATCA